TTTTTAAAAGTTAAGTAAATGAACACGAGGCTTAATTTGCATAGATTAGATTCATTTATGAGTTATGATTGAAAATCAAATGCTGCGTCCATTGGTTACACTTTATAATGTGTAAATGATTTTATGCACGTAGATAGCGTCGTTATTTACCTTAAGAAATGAATTTTGTGAGACATCAGTAGAGTGAGCTGATATGGAGTAAGATATCAATTTAGGTCATTTTTTGTGCCCTTTGATACTTACATGTTACGTTTGGTCTCATTATAGCATAGGTTTTGAAAAAAAACTTTACAAGATTAATTTATACATATCTCACCTAAGTGCTATAGTTTAATCTTAGTTTCATGCAATGTTCATAAAACTCAACTTACTGTAAACTTATTTGTATGGGAATGCAGCAACATGAAAACTAACAAACTATGTTATACGATTTCAAGTATTTTTGCTGTTAAGATTATACCTGAGAGGTCGCTATTCAGAGAGGTAATCTAGATAAAGTTTTATCCTGTCACTTGTATCAATTTCGGCCCGATAACAAGGTGCCGTATATTTTGACTGATCTACGGCACTTGATCACGTGGTATGCATGAATGGGCACCTCTTTGCCGAACTACTTTTCAAGAAAAAATATAATTATTGTTATAATGTTGGACTTTATGTTTGGTGGTTAAATTTCAAATTTTTCATGAAAATAAGCTTTTTGTTTGGTGGTTAAATTTCAAAATTTTCATGAAAATAAGCATAAATCTGAAGGCATGCTGCTTTAAAATAGCGTACTTGATTTAATTGTTTTGCACGTGCTGTTTGGCGCTACATTGTGACGTCACGTAAACAATACTTTAAACGTCTGTACAGCGTTAACGACTGAATAAAAGATATTGGTGTTCGAATTCATTTTCTTAGTTAGACCATTTTCTTCCATTCAAGATAGTTTTCACAACAAAATTCGACAAAAAATTGTTTATATTTCTCACATTTTTGAAACAAAATGGCGCCCTCAATGTGAAAATACACAGGGAGATAATAAGAATGGCGAGTGCATTGTTGTAGAATAATGCACGCTTCGGGCCTTCTTTGTTTATATAGAAACATTTTCGATAGTGTGATTAAAGGAAGTTTGCCTAATAAAATTCTTTAAAAAAAACGGTGACAGGATAAATAGAATAATAGATTGGTGCCGTGGATGGAGAAAGTTTATCTGGCTCTGCTCCGGAATTTATTGGATTCGCCTTCGGCTCACCCAATAAATTCCTCCGCCTCGCCAGATAAACTTTCTCCATCCACGGCACTAACCTATTATTCTCTATATCTTGAAGTACACCTAAGTGGACTACATATGATAAAAGAACATCTTGACAAAAAAACAATTTAACCATGTTTTATGTTGATGTTCTTGCTGTCGATGATATTGTTGTTACTGGAATTGTTAGTGTTATAGAAGTGATGTTTTCAAATGTCCAGCACAATGCTTCGTAATTACATGTACATGCATATATCTATTCAGACGTGAACAACTGAATAAAACTTAAAATAAAAAAAAAAAATAAAAAAAGAAACTTTTCTTCTTCTAACCTTGGGCAATTCTTCGCTCGAAGGGTCTTCTTCTGTTTCCATGACAACTGCTTGAAACAAACCCTGAAGGAGATACAAGCGTTCTTTAACATCTCATCTTCTATACTTAGGTTGTATATAAAGTGGGGTAATTAAACTTACAGTTTGACATACATTAGAGATTTGTAAATGAGTTAGTGTTAAAAAGATTGTAAAGAAATAAACGACTATCTTGTCGGACCATTTTTCCCCGGTTTCGTGATCAAAAAAATATACACACAATTTAAATAGCTATAGACCTAGTAGTGACAATGTTTGCACTTGTAAAGAACGCAACACATAAAATGTAAAACTGTATTATACAACGTATTTATGATCAATACTGACTCAAACCAAAATACCCTGGCTAAACGAAATAGCGTTAACAGTAACTCAATACGGGTAACTCCTTCGACGGATTAACTTCACTGTTGTTTAAACCTGTTTAATGTTTCATTTATTAAAGGTGAATCAATTCGTAGTAGAAAATAGATAAAGTTAACTATTACAGTAAAGTTACATAATATCAGATAGATGTTACAACATTTTTTGCCATCGCAATATTTTCGTCTATTATCATGTTTTGACTATGAACAGCGTTTTATCTTAAATCGTTTCACGACAAAGAAAAGTTCTGTCTATTCGTTATGTTTGGTTACATTTACTTATTCATTTTTTAATAAATGGTATGTACGCGACAATAGGTCTTGTATACGATATTGTACTTTGATTGATCGGTATTTGTTACATGTACTGCCATCTTAAACAAAGAACAATTACCTATATCATTAAACATAATTTGAAAATATAAACTTACCTTGTTATCTCAGGGTCCGTGCTACAAGTGTACAATCATGCTGTTGACAATCCTGCTCTTACTATACTACAGTAGATAACGATTTTTGTTCATGTCTTGTCTTGCTAAATCAGACGAAATTTTAGATATTTTTAAAGCATGTACAATGTCAGAAGAATTTTGCTTTGTGCTTTACCAAAACTTTGTTTATTTCTTAATTATTCAGTTTGATTTTTAATTATAAAGTTCAAATTTTATCGTGTCAATGTTTATAACAAAAGGGTTTCAAATTTTACACGATAAATATATTGTTGTGAAATATGATATCATGAACATGTAGTTCTATTTAACATCGATTTATTACGCTGTATGCAAACAAAGTTTTCTGTCGCTATCACTGTTGAATGAGGTAATATTGAACGGTGTATGGTGTGTGTCTATCGTATGCTGTACAATAACTTGGTTTACAATTGATGTCAAATATATTTAATTTGTGATACATTTGGGCTCATCTACAGCCACTATTTGTGCCATCATCTGCATCTAGCAGCAATAGGAACACCTCGACGATTAATCGAAGACAGACTTAACGTTTCCGTAAGAATACATAATGATAATAATAATATCTTTATTTAAAGAAGGTTACACATTAAGAACATACAATAACAATCATATATACCTTATTTCCAATGTGGCCTTCTGAAATAGAAAACAACAACAACAACAGGACATGCATAGGTAGAAAAATGAATGTATAATATGTAATTTTTGGAATAATACAACTCATATACTTTCGACAGACACTCAACAATTTGTTTAAACATATACGTATATTGCATCATTTGTTCGTTCTTTCATTCGTTCGTTCATATATTTATTCATTCATTCATTCATTCATTCATTCACTCACTCACTCATTCATTCATATGAACATCAAGATATGCTTTGTATTTATCTTTAAAACATTTAAGGTTATTAACATTACGAATATTTAAAGGTATATTGTTCCAAATGTTCATGCCATAATAAGAAAATGTGTCTTTAATATAATTTGTTTTAGGTCTTGTCCATAATACAATATCTTTTCGTGACCTAGATCTTAAGTTATATATTTTGTTGTCGGATAAAGTCATCAGTTCTGTCATATAAGTCGGTGCCATGTTATTTAAAGTTTTAAAAACAAGCACCGCCGTGTGGTATTTACATCTGTCAAGGAACGGTAACCAATTAAGAGTTTCGAATAGATTTATTGACGGAGAATTTTGAGGTTGCTGTAAAATGATTTTAGCAATTCGTTTTTGTATCTTACAAACATTATTTATGTAGTTTGTGTTTCCTTTACCCCATATAATACAACAATAGTCCATAATGGGCAATATATATGCATTGTAAAACAATAATTTCATATACATGAATATTTGTTAAATTATTTTAAGGTATATTAATAAAATTCTTTTTTGTACCATTCTTCTATTATTTAGTAATTGTTTACCTTTTGTATAACCTTTGAAACTTTTAAGTTAATTCGCGAAATGTACGGTGTCCCGTTAGGGCAATCACAACACGCACGCACACACACGCACACAAGTACGCACACACGCACACGCACACACACAAATCACAAAATTACGATGGTGAAAAGTCGAAATAACGAATCAACGTTGGTAAATAGTTGTAGGTATGATGATGAAAAGTCAAAAGAAAGATTTCACCACCTGCCTTCTCGACTTTTCATCATCGCATTTTCGATTTTTTTCCATCGTAGTTTCGTTATTTCGACTTTCCATCACCGAACGTTCAACTTATCATCATCGTGGTTTCGACTTTTCACCATTGTACTATCGACTTTTCATCATCGTGGTTTCGATTTTTCTTCATCATAGTTTCGTATTTTCACCATCGTACATAATCGTACCTTCGACGTTTAAACATCGTAGTTGTTCCTTCCTGTCTGGCATGCGCACAGAGATCATACCATGGATGACGATATAAGATAATATGTTTACCAAGGATACAATTACAAAGAAATAATGATGGAAGTATAAGGTTTGTAGAATGGTGAAAACTCGAAATAACAAAACCACCATGGTCAAATGTCGGAATTACGATGATGTAAACAAGAAATTATATCGAGTTTTTATCATCGTTGTTTTGTTATTTCGACTTTTCACTTTCGTACTTTCGACTTTTCATCATCGTATCTTCGGCTTTACACCATCGTGGGTCCGTTATTTAGACTTTTCACTATCGCATTTTTGTGTTTTCGAGTTGTGTGTAGCGATGGCTGTTACAGGACATGAACACTGTAGATATGAATGTTAAGGTTGTTTTATCCTAAACAAAGATTATAATAATTTTAACACTATCTCAACACAAGAATCAGTCCGACCTGAAATCATGTGCGGTCACAAAGCCAAACATCTTTGTTCTAGTGCTTATTCTGTTCCACGAACATTTACGATATATTACTTATTGCTTGACAGGAGTCAGTGTAAAGTATTATCTACGCCGTGAAGTTTCAAAGTTTCAGTTGCCCAGAAGCATACACACAATACTTAAACAATGTGACCTATTGATAAAGTGGTCTTACTTCCAGTATATTTCAGAAAGAATATACATGTATTTATATTTATTCATAGCTGATGAAGTAAAAGAAAGTTGTTTATATTTATATCATATTAAACAAAACGTTAAGAACTTTGTCCGATACATATTTTCTTTCCTAAAAAAGTTGTAACTAACAAGTAAAACATAGACATAAATATGCAACACAAAATAAATGACAAATATACACATTTTAAAGTTTTTGTTTATCATCGTCTATGCGGGTCTCTTGTTCCATACCCGGCTGGCGGGCCTGTGTAATAGTCATGTCTTCCTTTATATGGTTCCGGATAGGCACGGTCATATGGTTGCTGTTGCCCCTGGTACCCGCCGTACCTGTATTGTTGTGAGCGCAAATCAGAATGACTATTAGGCGGGGAACCATTATAAAAATCATTTTGGTGACCATATTGTTCTGGTTCCCGGTATGGTTGTATGGCAATGTCGTCACTGTAACTGTTCTTGTCATCGTCATTATTACGATTCTGACAGCAAATTGTCAGTGAGAAAATGATCAGAAGTAACTGAAATATGAAGCAAAATACTTTTATTTTAATTTACTGCAATATACTAATTTATGAATTTTGCTTTTGACATGGATGATTTATTCGTTGTAAAATATGTGACTTACACACTTCTTTTTACAAAACGGTCTCTATATTAATATACGTAGAGTATTACAATGTACATGTTTATTCTATGATGATATACATAATTCGTATGACAAACGTGTATTATAAAAAAACGAGATACCTTTTCTTTAATATTGCATGTATGTTAGAAACTTGTCTTGAACTCCTAGTGAATTATTCAATTTTTGTATCATACATTATAACTAATGCTGATCAATAGTAACCGTAACACCACCAGGTATAAGGTACACTTACCCACCACCACCCCTTATAGTCCCGCGTCAAGTACTTTTTTATATATAAAAAAAAGAGATTAATTTACCTGAACGGCAGCAACACCAGCCCCTGCTCCTATCAGGACATTGCTGTGATCTGTTAGCCAATCATTTATGGCCTCGTAACAACCCTGTAACCATGAAAACAATTTTAGCAAAAATTAATAAAAGATAAATTTAACGTTACAGGAATACGCGGTCGTAAAAATGTGAACAACATCAAACTCTCTTACAACAGTCAACATGCTTTCTTATAACAGTCAAACTCGTCATATTGCAAAATAAAGAATAATTTTTAGATTTGGTTGATGAAAACTTTTCAATAGACCTTCGTTTTAGGAATAATAATTACAAAGGTTCTATGGATTGAGTATAAAAAGGGAGATCACTCCGAATCATTGAAATACAAACACATATGTCATTACCAACTTTGTATGGGTATTTTAACGGTATATGTTTTAAGTGAATACTCGGATTATGACATATCATGAAAAATGTAACATCTTTTACACTGCCTTGACTGGGGCGTCTGTGGCCGAGTGGTAAAGGTCGTTGACGTCAAACCACTTGCCCTCACCGCTGTAGGTTCGAATCCCGACAGGGACTTTAAATTCTTTCATGCGAGGAAGCTATCCAGCTAGCTTACGGAACGTCGGTGGTTCTACTCAGGTGCCCGTTCGTGCCTGAAATATTACAAAGACACCTGAGGTCTTCCTCCACCAGTAAAGCTAGAATGTCGCGATATGACCTATACTGTGTCGATGTGATGTAAAACCCAATCAAACAAACAAGAAACATTGCCTTGAACCTGCTTAAACAATATTCAATCTTCATTATCAAGAGACCAGACCTACGAATAATGATAAAAAAATAAGAAAAAGAAAACAACAAAGTGATGAAATATAGGACAACCTGGCACACAGCTAGGTGTGTGAACCTACCTGATTAATGTAGGAATTATTTGATGACGGGTTTGTAACACAGGTTTTATCTTTGGTATTCATGCAGCATATATATGGAATTATTTGGTCACTTTGAGTTCTATTCCATTTAGTTGTGGCATTAAATTCGCTGTAGTTATCTATTCCACAACATTTAAACTGAAATTCAAAATGGAACCATATACTATCTATCATAAAGAAGTATTGTAAATACAAAACTAAAATAAGATATAACTTTACTTTAAACAGTAACTGGATGTAGACGAATATGCAAGTTGTTCATACATCGTAACTTAAATGATCTCCCCTGCTTAAAGTATACGGCGTATGCCTATACTTAAACGGCATACTGGCAGGCTCGGTTTGATTGAGCTTGTTCGTGCTTATATAACGCCCTATATAGCGTAATTCATTCCTTTTATAGCCGTGTAATAATTTTCACTTTTTGACAAACATTATGTTGGTTTATATTGTCAGAATGTTGGTAGATAACTTCAATATAGATTTGAAAGCAAACGTTGCTGTTTGTGTTGTTACGTTTTCTTTTTCATTTTTATTTAGATTCGAAGCAAGCACTACACCGCCGCATTGATTTGATAAAAACTGCGGATTAAAAAAAACTCGGTAGAACTTCGACTTGGATATAGGACAACCTGGCACACAGCTAGGTGTGTGACCCTACCTGATTAATGTAGGAATCACCCAACTAGAAAATGCCGAAAAGTTGAAACTAAAAATACCACAAGCACAACAATAATGTCATACGGCGGTTATCATGGAACCTTCAATGTGACACTTCCGTGCCATTCCATGAAAAGCGGCGTATGGTCCCCAAGTAATAAAAAGCGTGTGCCCTAAACGAGAAAACAATGGGCAGAACTAAATAAAATGGAATTTTGAGAGGGGATCAGAGGTTATTAAGCCTTTCATGGAATGGCACGGAAGTGTCACATTGAAGGTTCCATAATAACCGCCGTATGAACACATCTGCGGATGTTTCTAAATCCAAAATTTTACTATTTCATGTTTAAATGTTGAATTCTGCTTAAGCCGGTGCTAGGGGGCGTGGACGGTAACTTGCACTTTCCAGTACCGTCCAAGAACAGGCTCAATCAAACCGAGCCTGCATCATTTTCAATTTTGCCGTGTTGGGCTTTCTTTAGGGATTCTGTGTTTATCTATTTTTTGGGTAAATCATGAAATGTTAAATTGTGTCGTTTTCGTGGAACATTTTTGTAGCGTCACTATTGCCATTAATACTATGACACAATAACAAAGTTACAAACCTCGTGCATCACAAAATTCATTGTCAATGAGAAAGGATCGGTGCCATTTGTCCCAGTGTAGTCTTTTTCTAGTTTTGTAATAAGGGGTGTTCTTATCCAACCGTCAATCTATCAAACAAAAGAAAACAAAATTATATTTCATTAAAATAAGGGGTACAAAAATAAAAATGGGATCTAACAATGTTCTCGAAACATCACGCCAGATAACATACACTCAACACCACCGTAAAGATAACTGGTCTTTCACAGGACTAAAACGTCAAATAATAATGAGAGCATGTGTCCGCAAAAGTAGTTAATTTTTTTACTTGTTTCAATGAAGACAAATATTAAAGTTCTATTTGTTTCAATGAGGGCGAACATTTGAATGTTTACGGGTATCTTCTGTAAGTGTTTATTTTAACATTTTAACGGAAGGTAAAATAGTTTAATTTAATTAACAGTTGTAGCGACAAAAAACCCGTCATACATGTGTGTCTTGTTATGAAAATAGTGGTTATAATAGTTAAACATGTAAGGTATCACAGTATCGAGAACCTGTGAGCTTTAAGAAACGGGTTATATAGAACCGCGGGTGATGAATCAGACCCCTAAGTTAGTTTAATCATATTTTTTGAAACATGTTCTTGCAATTTATATTAATCACTTCCAGGTCCACTTCCTGGAACTAACCAGTACTGGTGTCATATGCATAAACATGGTCAACCCAAGTAGGGCTCTAATCCATGATCCCATGAAACCCTCCTTAACCATTATGTCACCACTCTTCTTAAGATGTGCGAGAAAGGGAATCGCATCCAATAATTACGTAGTATATACAGTATTTACATTATTACAACGCATATAAAACATAAACCTTAGAATTAAGGAAATACTTGTCGTCGATTTAAAGTCATACTGTAGAATTAAAGAAAATTTTAATGTAGAATTTAGCAAACACCTACTGTAGAGTACAGTAGATTTTGAAAAATTTAGAAAATAATTAATGTATAATTGGAGGAATTCTTAACGTAGAAATAAGTAAATACTAACTGTAAAATTTAGGAAATATTTTAAAATTTAGAAAATTCTTACTGTAGAATTTAGGAAATTCTTACTGTAGATATATGGAAATACTGTAGATTAAAGGAAATACTGTAGAATTAAGAAATACTGTAGAATTTGAGGAAATGTTTGCTGTAGAATTTAGGAAATACTCACTGTAAAACAGAGGAAAAAACTTACCGTAGATTTTATTGTAAACAGGAGGATCACAAAGATAAGTTCGGCGACAAATATGGTCAATAGCACAATAGTATACTGTAAAATATAATGTACATCAATGTTTCAGTGTGACAATCGTGTAGGTTATATGTGTTAACATTGTTTTTATTGTTAAATAACAGTAAAACATCTTTTCCTGACCTTCTAACATACCAAGACAGTCTATATCAGACATTGTGGTCAAAACATGAAACATTTGAAGATAAGTTGTTTAATAAAGACTTAAGCTGAAAATTTTGTTTTTTGTTTGTTTTTATCAAACTATAGGACTCCATTGAACATGTTGATTTTATAATGTTTTCTCTTGCCTTTACGTCAAACATTTAAAAGTTCATACTTTCATTTATTTTCATATTAGATTAACATTCCTGAAGGCTTGAGGTAAAAGAAACGCCCTACAGATTGTTTCAGTAAGTATTGCTCTAGATGTTTGTAAAATTTGTAAAAAATAATAATAATAATAGTTCAAACTTACAACTATCAGGAGGAATTTAACTTTACAAACAGCTCCGATGCATCCGAAAATTCCCAAAACGAAGAAAAAAGCACCAATTACAATGAACGCTAGAGAAGCGTCCCCTGCCAGATCGCCAATGTCAAGTTCACTTATGTTTACGTCATTGCTTGCGGCAGCTTCTTCAAGCGCTTTCTGGAACGCACTGTAAGCGCCTTGGAGATAAGAATCTAGCAGATCTGAACCGAACCGAACTAAACATGCTACAACCAGAAGTGCTATACCGATCAGCTAAATTAAAAAGAAAATGAGTCGTAAGGAATGAATAAATAATGTTGTAATATTTTATTATGAAGTTAACCAATACATATTATATATAAAGAAAAAGAAATGATCGAGTTAACGAAAAATCGAGAAAGACAATGTCGAGATAACGATAGTTGACTCTGTATATCTAAATTTATTACATTTATTGCTTATATGAATGAGCATAACGGAAGTTTTAAGAAAGCTGCGTATGTCAGGTCACCAAATATGCACCAAGTTATATTTAACATGATGAATGTTGGCATTTGTGTTATCGGTATATTGAATGTTAGTACAACTTACATTGTTACTGTACGACCTTCTCTCATTTATCAGCGTAATTAAATAGTCAATTAAGATAACAATTAAGATAACACCGACCAGTTAGAAAATGTGTCGTACAAATTTACATGTAAAAACCTATATAAAGAAAACTTACTGAAAACAGAAAGTTTATCAGCACCAGCAGAATTTGTCCACAGCCCTCACAACATCCCATCGTATCCGGGATTTCTCCGTATAGAATTTACAACAGATATTTTATACCGAAGAATAAAAAGGTGTTACTTCAACACAATCGAAACTTCCTGAAAATGATAAAACAGATTCAATGTTTGTTGGCGTAAACGTTTAAATTAAACAGTAGTAATTCATTGGTCTAGCATAGACATAATTATATACATGAATCATAATATCATCATAATGTTGTCATTATTATTGCACATCATAATGTTAAATGGGCACGTGATTAAATGAAAATTTGAGTGATAAAAAGACCACATTATCTGGGATAAAATGTAGGTAGATGGGACAATGAAATAATACTTATAACAAAATAAAAGTAAAAAATGGAAAATAATTTAATATTGTTTTTTATCACATTCTAATTAATGTGTAAAGATATTCTGTAATTAATTGAGTATGAAATAATTTGCTTGATAAAACGCAACTGTTGCTCATGAATAAGGTAATTGGATATTTAGATACTAGTAAGCAGTGTATCAGCGAATATACATGCCTTAAAGCATATGCTTTGAATAATAGGTGTATGGCTTGATTTTTACGATCTTTCACTGTTAGAAAATTGTTGATTGATTGATAAAACTATCAAATGTGGTGTTTAATAAACAGCAACATATCTTTCTTCATTTAAAATTCCAGTACTAAATGAAAAAGAGTACGTTAATTATTGAATACTTAAAAGTAAATGTAATGATATGTAACGCCATATAACGCTTTAATATATTGAATAAATGTAGTTCTCTATTCGTTTAAAGAGCATGCTCAAACATTGAAGAGTTTTATCAAATTGAAGAACTCTTTAATCGCCAAGTATTAAAATGACAGCAAAAAATAAATGCGAAGGCAAATTATTCATGACATTCATGATTATTTATGATGAAGGCACATTGATCCTCAGAAGCTAATAAATATTTCATCAATATGGGTTTTATTACTTTTAATATAAAATTTTAGAAAATGATATAGTTGTTTATCACCTGAAGAAAGGAGTGATGAATGTGAAATTATTTGTCAAAAAGTAGCAAAATGTAAACGAATACGAATACGAAAAATTTACGAAAAATTAACAATGTTTATATAGCCTACATAAATCTGAAGTACAGTGTGAACAAAAAAAAACATATAAAAAAAAAGAAAAGCAAACAACAAAATGCATTTTACATTATAAATCGTACAGTTATCAGAAGATTTTTTGGTGAAACGTTTTTCTTATAAAAAAATGAAAGTATCTTAAGGAATGACGAATACACATATAAATGTGTATACACATGAACACATATACAACCCTAAAGAAATATTAACAATATTTACCTGATTCTCATGAAAAATTATGCAATTCTTATTTTATTTGCATAGTTAACAAATTTAGCTTAATTCAATATATCTTTTGTAGAGTTTGTTGACATGAGAGCCCTAAATTTATTCAAAGTCGGCCATTGGCAACAATAGCATTTAAAATATTTATTTCTCAAATCTCTGAAATACGGACAGACCATAAAAAATGGTATTCATTTTCGATCATTAACAAATGTAAACAAATGAGTATACCAAATCACTATATTTCGACGGTCTAGTGCTATAAGGGCGTAAATGCATTTTTGCAAGTTTCGGGAAATTGAAAAAAACTGTCTGCAGACTTTGATCCTTTTTCAAACATGGTAAATCGACTTTTTTAAAACATTTTTTAAATTTAAATAGCCCACCACCATAATAAAAATTCACAAAATCCGTATTATGCCCTTTTAATATTTACATTTTTGTGCATCAGCCAATAATTCTAAAAAGACGTAACTAGCAGTTTTGTACTAATTGACAAAAGGTACCAGTAGCAAAAGATGGTTCAGGTAATTGGACAATTAGTAACTTTCTGGAAACTATAACGGGACGCTGAACAGTTACCTACTTTTGCCTCGAAATTCAATTCAAATATCTCTGTCTTATTCTCTGTGAAAATTGAACGGTATTAAATTATCACTACTTTGTGCTTCAAATTTGAACCTTTAAGGGCAAGACTAGTGACATTTGCGGGATCCGTACTAGGTACTTTTTGTGCATTAATGGGCAAATGGACCCAAGACTTACTGAACCCGAGCCGCTAGGCCAAAAATTCAAATAATCCTTATCACTGACTGGACAATTAAGTAAAAGAGTGCTAAAACGAATTTTGTATAACCGAGTTCTTCCTTCGAACAGGAATTACATATAATATTATAGTGTGAGGATATGTTTGCCTATGAAATATATCTAGGTTCATTTTATAAAAAGTTGTATTGAGATTTTCTGTTTTCCTGTGATGAAATTTGATCAAAACAAATTTCATACATTTTTTACACCATTAAACAAGCATAAGGTCACGACCTACATGAAGGATACAAGTATATACGCACACAGGGTGTAACACATCTTGTTAACTAGCCATATATCTTGTCATTATAAACTGACCGGAAAGATAGAAATTTAAACTTGTGCTATTTTGACTTTAGAACTAAATTACTTTTCATGACACCATCACATCTGTGACCAGATCTAGTGACCAGGGTGATGGTGATGGACTGGTAGTGGTGGTGGTGGTAGTTACCCTCTAGAGGACGGCAGTAAGTCACATTGAACTTGCCAGAGCAAAGTGCAGCAACCGCATCGTGTTTGCACAGGCTGTGTAACTTTTGCAAGAAACTTATAAATTATGTTCATGCAAGAGCAGAGGTACAGTGCGAATGACTGTAGAAAGGACTTCAGGACCAATCACAACGAAAGTGACCCGCACCATCCGGGAATCGAACCCGGATCGCCCGATTCACAGTTCAACTCTCTATCTATTGAGCTAACCAGAGGGTTCTAAAGATCGAGGAAATAAATGATCCTTATCTATAGGCGGTCGCTCAAAATAAAAGTAATTTAACACTGCATTTGATCAAATAATTTTTTAAACGAAATGCAAGGGTTTCAATACTACAGTTAAAGAAAATTTCAATTTCTTTTGGTTCTTCTAAAACCTCCTCTGTATTGGTGAAAAAAGAGACACATCCGCCATAACTGAGTTTCTGGTTCGGCTTGTTCAACCTCTACAGTTAAACCTGACAAATGGGTATTATTTACATTTGCCATGACCACTGTTTGGTGGGTTTTCTTTAAGGATACAGGTATGCCTGTGAACACGTAAAGACCTTTGCTCAGACGGTGGTCTCGTAAACAGGTGTGACTGTTTATAATTCAGACTTATTAATGAAAGGTTAATTATCGTTACAAATGTATTAACATATCAGCTATAATTATATAGTGACATTTATGTATGATTAATAACACATAATGAATTATGATGAGCAGAAAAAACACCAACATTCCGTTATAACCTCGCTATAATATCACTTTGTTTGGCAAATAATAAGTTAATGCATCGGCTGTGTTTTACATTGCTAGAGTTTGCTAACATATTAGTCCGAATCTTTATAGAGTTATACACATGCGGTTTAGACTAGTGACCCCTTTTTCAGAACTTTTTGGTTATTTTCATTTTTGCCATGTTTGTGATTAATATGTCATACACTCATTCATCATTTCATTTACTTAACAAATGATATGAGTGAATAAAACTGAACATTTATGAATATATAAATATGCGCACATTTACCTGTTTAATAAAACATATACATGTACATTTAAATTAATTAAAAAAATTTCAAAACGGCTATTGCATTACATGAAAGAGAGAAATTGATTTCTGCAGAAAACGGTCTCGGTGTCTCTTAGACTTATAGAATCATGTATAATTTTTTCATAACTTTATACATGTATAAAATCATACATTTAACAATTTAAGGTAAAAATAGGACTAGAATATGTTCTAAAAGAACTTAAATTATTTAATAAAAATATAAACTTTAAAAAAAAAAAATAGCATTTTCATAAGCATACTAGTACATATATAAAAAAAATTAAAACACACACACAATAAAACCCAAACAGAACAATAAAAATCTGAGCATATCATGAAAACAAAAAGGTGTACATGCCGAGTGTCCTCACTTTTATTTCTTTTTATTTTCGTGAAAAAAGTATGTTCTAATGATTTCCTTTAATTCATGATAAATAGAAAACTAATTTACCTTTTCCCGTGAATCAGCATCCCGATTTAATCTCATGTAATATCTATTATACTTTAATCATATAAAATGTTGTAACAGTGAGAGATAACTTTAATAACTAGAGCACGCATATTAATCACGAGGTATATAAACTGTCCCACCTCTATTGTAAACAATGTTATATTTACAACACTTGTCATTAACCGAGGTAGGTCAAAGGTCAAATTCATTGTCAGGCTCAATAAAGTTTAGTTTTAAGTTATAATGATACAAAAACATTTAATAAATGTATTAAGAAAATAGACCATTTAATGGAAAAAATGAATGGCACTTTACTACGAATAAAAATACACAAAATGTCCATACTTCGTATATGTATTATTTTCTATACAAAAAAATTGAGATCCGTTGTACATAAAATACGAGGCATAATATATAGATGTTTTATCGTCCAGACATATACTTGAAACGTTATAGATAGACAGAAACTTTAGAGGCTTTTATTCATTTTATGACTTCAGCAGAATTGCCTCTTCCATATCTGTAGCTAAGTCCGTTTCTTAAAAAATGCATTAAATTTTTACTTACAGCGTAGGGCGTCCGTGGCCAAGTGGTTAAGGTCGTTGACTTCAAACAACTTGCCCCTCACCACTGTGGGTTCCCTCACCACTGTGGGTTCGAATCCCGACAGGGACTTTGGATTCTTTCATGTGAGGAAGCTATATATATCCAGTTAGCTTATGGAACGTCGGTGGTTCTACTCAGGTACCCGTTCGTGCCAAATGACCTGTCCTGTGTCGGTGTGACGTAAAACCCAAAACAAACAAACAAACGAACAAACTTACAGCGGATATTTATTAAGAATTCCTTTGTTTATACTGCAGGTATTTTGTCACAAACATGTTTCAGTTATTGACACTAAACTTTAAACACTTCCTTATAGGAAAAGGTTCACTGATAAGCCAGGTTATCTCTGTCACGCCCTTTATGAATATAACGTTATCATCGTGGAGATATGTACCTGAATATCTTAAAACCTTATCTCAAAATTCACCGATTGATTTTCGTAAATCGCGCTATGTAAATATAAAACAAACGGGAAAGAGTAATCAGTGTACGAGGCAATTGATGTATAAATCACAGATAAAGTGTCCGACATACATAGATACAACATATCATTTTCATTTCAAACCCCTAGACACATTGTTTATTGAAAAATGACAAACCATTTTTTGCCAATGTTAAGTTTAACAACATTTCTGTCAAAACGTGACAAGCAGTCAGAACGTCACTTATCTATTTTTTCTACCATGTCTGCATTTTAATACACAATTTAATATGTGGTGTGTCACTAGGTAGTGAACAGTTGTACAAGGAGATGTATCATATATTCTTTATGTTCATAAACATGTAAGTGTTCATAATTCTACAAAACAATTCAAACTTAAAACAACTCATACAAGAACCTTATTAGTCTACCAACATGATAGGTAAGTTTCGAGCCCAAGTCTTGATATTCAAATGTCCTCATTGTTAATACTCTTCATAAAACCGCTTTGTCATATTGAGCAAATGCAATCAAAATATCCGATTTCATATTTTGTTAATACAAAAAAAAATTTAAAAAAAAATTAGCATCAATGCAATGACCCCAATGTAAAATAAATTTCAATTATCACTGGATAAAACTGCCTTATGGAGCAGGGGCCAGCACTGCCATATGAAGCTTGGGTCACACTTAACTTTTAATTATTTCTAAAGTCAAACACATCAGGGGAAGAATATTATAGTAAAGACTGACCCCCTACCCCTCCCCCCCCCCCCGTCTCCCACAAATAACAAATAAAAATTCAAATTTCATATTTGACCTTGATTGTCAAGGTCATTAAAATGTCAAGGTGGCAACTGAATAAATCATCATGCCATAAGTGCTCTTTTACCCAAAAATAGATCAAATCCATATAAAAATAAACAAGTTTAAACAATTAATGCACATTTCAATAATCTGACCTTGGTGGTCAGGGTCAATCAAATGTCAAAGTCATATCAGAAAAATTCAACATGCCAGTTTTGTCATATGTAGTCTTTTGTCCAAGTATGAATCAAATCAATAAATAAATAACAAAGTTATGAAAAGTTAAGCAAACTTGAATAATTTGACCTTGACAGTCAAGATGAATTACAGGTCAAGATCATTACAGAATTATTCAACATGTCAGTTTTGTCAAATGTCTTCTTTTGTCCAAGAATGTAAGTAAACAAGAAAGTTTTAAAGCAAATATCAATAATTTGATATTGACAGTCAAGGTCAATTCAAGGTCAAGTACACTTCATAACAATTAAACATATCAGTTTTGTAATATGTGTTCTTATGTCCAAGTATGAATCAAATCTGTAACTAAATAACAAAGTTATAACAAATTATGCAAATTTCAATGATTTTACCTTGACAGTCAAGGTAAATTAAAGGTCTAGATCAAATCAAAATTATTCAAAATATTATAATTTGACCTTAAAAGTCAAGGTTTTTTAAGGTCAAGGTCAAACTGAGTTTGATCTTTTAAGGCATTGTCCTTAAAGGTAGTTGTGCTCAAGTATGAAGACAATCCTTTCATAAATGACATATTTATAGCCAATTATGGCTGAAATCAAGTAAAACTTTTTAATGTGACCTTCAAGGTCAATGTCATTGATAAGTGAAGTCATAATTAAATTTATTGCACTCAAAAGACTTGTCCATAGCACTGTTGTGTCCCACTATGAAGACAATCCATCCATAATTGCCAATTATAGCAAATATCAAGACAAACTCATATATCTGACAATGACAGTCAAGGTCCATTAGGAGTCAAGGTCAAGTTCAGTTACGATACTTGAAGCTCTTGTCCAAAGGGTTGTCCAATTATAAAGACAATCAATAAATAAAACTAGAAATGTGTCCATAGGACACGGATGCCCCCACATGCCACTGTTTTGTCAATCTTATGATTCTAGGTCAAATCTTTTTTGGACTACATGTGCCACAAGTTGAAAACTAAAAATCAACAAAGGGCCATAATTCTGTTAAATTTGGTCACAGCAAAAATTCCTTCCTTTACTACCATCTACACATTAAGGTTGTTCATCCCTGGAAGTTTAAGCAAAATCTGCCATCCGGTTTAAGAGGAGTTGGGTTCACAAAATTTCTACATAGTATAATGAAAAAATCAACAAAGGGCCATAATTCTGTTAAATTTGGTTGCAGCAAAAATTCCTTCCTTTACTGCCATCTGCACATTAAGGTTGTTCATCCCTGGAAGTTTAAGCAAAATCTGCCATCCGGTTTAAGAGGAGTTGCATTCACAAAATTTCTACATAGTATATAGTGAAAAAATTAACAAAGGGCCATAATTCTGTAAAATTTGGTTGCAGCAAAAATTCCTTCCTTCACTACCATCTACACCTTAAGGTTGTTCATCCCTGGAAGTTTAAGCAAAATCTGCCATCCGGTTTAAGAGGAGTTGCGTTCACAAAATTTCTACATAGTATATAGTGAAAAAATCAACAAAGGGCCATAATTCTGTTAAATTTGGTTGCAGCAAAAATTCCTTCCTTTACTACCATCTACACATTAAGGTTGTTCATCCCTGTAAGTTTTAGCAAAATCTGCCATCCGGTTTAAGAGGAGTTGCGTTCACAAAATTTCTACATAGTATTTAGTGAAAAAATCAACAAAGGGCCATAATTCTGTTAAATTTGGTCGCAGCGAAAATTCCTTCCTTTACTACCATCTACACATTAAGGTTGTTCATCCCTGTAAGTTTAAGCAAAATCTGCCATCCGGTTTAAGAGGAGTTGCATTCACAAGATTTCGGGACGTACGGACGGACAGACAAGTGCAAAGCTATAATGGCCAACATTAAGTTTCTGGACTGCACCAACAACCTGACTGTAGCAATAGCTCAAAAAAGTTCAAGTTTAAAACCACAAACATTTTGATGGTACATGTACCCTCTAAAGTTAAATGACACAAGATGGAGCATCTGTCCTGTTTTGATGATCCTTGTTTTGTAGACATGTTCCTATGGTTTACCAGGTATTGAAATTTCAATATAAACACTTGAAATGTAAATAATTCAATTCATTTTATGGTATTTGATTTATGTGCAAATAAAAATGAAATAATACTCATCTTCAAAATCATACAAGTTACAATAAATACATTATTGTTCATTTCTAGATGGTACTATTCTATGTTTCCAAATGGATCATTGTGAATTAATTTAATAAAAGATTCCAATTACATGTAGTAATTAAATGACCATAACCATTTGACCAAGGATGCCTCCATATTTACAACTGATACAACAAGATAGAACCATAGATCAGAAGCCTCTTTTTAAATGTCTGTCATAATAATCATATAACAAGGTCTATATTTCTTTCTTTTTTTATTTTCACATTTTATCGTTAGACATGAAAACATGTATATCTGAACAAAATATCTACCCTAATTTCTTAACAAAGCCCACATGTATGGCACACAGAGGTACTGAATATATATCCTGTATTGACAATTTGAGGAAAATAATAACTTCATCTCAATACAGCTTATATAATGTATTTATATGTGTTTGCTGATGTTTAAAGGGACTCCACAGAGATTTAAAAGCCTAAAAACATAACATTTGAATTTCTTACATAAATGAGCTTGGGCACTTTAAACAGAAGTATATGCAAAGATAGTTAAGAAATATACTTTGAAATAAATTGAAAATCATATTTTTATGCTTTTCTTAGCCCTATTTGAGTGAAAAATGTTTAAACGCTTTTCATTTTGGGTAATTTTTTTACAATTTGAATAATTATTCAGCAAAAATGAAGTGCGCAAAAGATATGAAATTTTGCACAAAGATTATTGGTCTAAACCTACATCAAATGGTTCATTTATCTGGAAAAAATATTTTCAGTCCCATCATGTCAAAAAACCTTGGTGGAGTCCCTTTAAATGCCTTAAAATCCAAATGAAAACATGTTATGTACAGCCCAAAGTTCAACTTGTAATGTCACAATTTTTCAATGTGAAATGTTGCAACATTACCTAAATCATCACACAAAAACAAAGACTTTTTTTTATATATTCAATAAATTGAATCAGGTATACTTAATGTGCATGTTTTCCCTATTATAATGAAACTTTTATGGCAACATTCTAGTGTCAAAGACAGAAATGAACTGAAATTCTGAATGCTATAATCATTATGTTTTGTTAGTCAGTTATATCTTTTTCATACCCTTGTAATTGTATTGCTCTTAGGACATGATGGTAGAAATCCAGTGAAATATTATTGATGAACCTTATATCTCATTGACCTCAAATTGCTTACAGAATAATATTCAAACCTCTGTGCCTGTTATATGTAACACATTTACCAAATATCCTTACATATATACATATATTCTTATTACAAAACATTTACATCTTAACAGCAATCATACAGTGCATATTTTTCTTATTTTATTTGATGCATAGGATGGAATATGAAAAATTTAATGTATCATAAAGGACGGAATATGTAAATTTAATTGTCACTGTATATGTATTATATAGGACGGAATATGTAAATTTAATTGTCACTGTATATGTATTATATAGGACGGAATATGTAAACTTAATTGTCACTGTATATGTATTATATAGGACGGAATATGTAAACTTAATTGTCACTGTATATGTATTATATAGGACGGAATATGTAAACTTAATTGTCACTGTATATATATGTATATATTAAATTATGTTAGGGAGTCTCTGGCTATCTATATAACTATCAAACCACTGATTGCCCTAACTGTCAATTGTTTTACTGAAGGGATTTCAATATCAAAATACCAATATCAAACAGCTAACAGAACATAGTTGGGTTAAACAACATTGATGTGAAGAGACAGGCTCTGGTATATACTGATAGTACAGGTCTGCCATTATCACTTGATGCTTAAGTAAAGACAACAACAGTGAGAAA